AGGTATTAATCTCTTTGTCAATTTCCTGCTTCATGTCCTGGATATTTTTTCGCATTTCATGGTGTCGTCTTACAGAGTCTTCTCTTATCTCACTGACTTTCCTTAAGACAGTTGCACGGAATTCCTTTTCAGTCATTTCTAGGGTTTCCTTTGCTGTAGGGTCTGGTACTTGAGATTTACTGAATTACTTTGGTGGTGTCATAGTTTCTGATTTTTTCATATTTCTAGTTTCTCTACGTTGATTTTTGGTNGGTCCTCAGAGACATAGAGGTCAGGCTCCACTGGTGAACTTGTAGCAAAACCAGAAGGGACACAGACAGAGGATACAGTATGTTTATTCCTCAGGAAGACTGAGTGACTCTTCATTTCACGGCTGTATATTGAACTGGAATCTCCCTGGGTCAGCAGGCCTGCCGGTGCTGCCCCGAAAGCTGGGGCATTTGGAAGGATGCTGCTGTTCTTAACTGCCCTTGGGTTGGTATAGGAGGGCATTAAAGAAGTGCCCGGCAGAGGGTTATCAGGCACGACAGGAGGCTGATATGGATTTGCAGACAAGCGTCGAGGACTCAGGCTGAAGAACATCTCCCGCTCCTTCTGCTCCTGCTCCATGAGCAGTGACTCCTGATCCGTTTCCTGGGAGTCGTCCGACTGATTAAACACCCCTTCGGGGATGCTCTGGTAGTCAATCTCCCGCCTCCTCACGGGTGAAGTTGGGCTATAACTTTCATGGTAGGAGAATGAACTGGGAGACCCCTTCTTCCTCATTTTCTGGAATTTACTTCTCCTAGACAGCCAGTACTTAGAATTTCTGGAAGCATATCCAGATAGCTTACGACGTCGCCTCAGTGCTTTCGCATGGAGACGTTGGATTTTTGAAACCTTTCCATGAACGACATCGAGTTTCTTGTCCAGGCTTCCAATAGCTTCACATACCCCCTTGAGCGTATCCAGCACACCCCGATCCTGAGACGTCTGCTGCAGCCTTTTGCGCAGTTCATCCCGACTCAACACATCAAAGCCGGGGGGCCGGGTGGACTGAGCCATCGTCACCAGGGATCAGCTTGCTCCCGAGCCCGCCCTGCCGGGCCCGCCCTGGCCCAGCCCGGGCCTCTGTCCGGGGGGCGGTTCGCGGTCCGGGAGGAGCAGGGGGTTAAACGCTCTGTCGCGCACTCCGGACGAGGAACCCGGGCAGAGGCGCGCGCTGCCTTCCTTGGCCGTTCTGAAGGGTGGGCGGGGCGTGACCCAGCGCGACTCTCGAAGGTGGCGGACGGTGGCGGACGGTGGCGGACGGTTGCGAGAGAGTGGAGAACAGAGAGTTTCACAGCCGGGTTCCCATCCCCTACATTCTTTTTCTAAGGTATTAATCTCTTTGTCAATTTCCTGCTTCATGTCCTGGATATTTTTTCGCATTTCATG